CATGGACACCTTGCTACTCTGACCAAACCTAAAATTCTGAAGAGAGTCCTAGGGTCAAGGAGGTGCCTTTTGCTGGCAACATGAAAATCCATTCAGATTTGGTAGTGACACATGCTTGAAAAATCACCATTTCCTGTCTCTGTTTCAAACAACGTAGTTTGCTTTTGACTTGATACCAAAAACGCTTAAGATTCCATTTGCACTGAACATGCAGCATACTAGCGCCTCATCTCAAGAGTCTACACAGAGATGAACTTCTGGACAGGACAGAGCTACTACAATAGATCCTCTCCCTCTTGTGGCTGTGCCCATAAAATACCCTTAGGATTACGAGAACATGCATTGTGCTGAGAACCAGGAAACCCTGATTTCTACTCACTTCAGTGAATTGGTGATGATAATTCCATGTCTTTCACAACCTCTATCATTGAGCAAAGTCTCACAAGTTAGACAAGCCAGAAACAGAACCCAAATCTTACATGGCAGATCCAAGTCTCAGCCACTTAACAACATTAGCAAATATTTGTTCTTAGCTATGCCATCTGTTAGATAGGGCTACTCCTGCATATGTAACCCAGCAATTCTGGGTCCATAGATGAACACTGCCTTCTCCTGCTGCCAACTCATGAAATTAGTCCTTTTGTTCCAGGGGAAGTTGTCTCAATTGCAGTGCTAAAGATTCAGGATTCAAACCCTGTTGTTTAGAGATCTGGGATTCTCAGGGGCCACGGATCTGGAATCCCAGGCCACAGTGCTCTTAGGAGCCCGTACATTCCAATCCGCCACCCAGTGACCTGTAAACAGTCACCAGAACTTGAAGCTCTGATTTGGCACAGTACTCTAGTCAAGGAATCTGGTGGGCAAAACTCCAAGGTTTCTCTTTAAACCAAGCAGAGGAACAGGAAGTCATGCCTGCAACTGGGTCTTTCCCTGCTTAGGACTACCTCCTCTGTGCTACCTGACTCTGACCTCCTGGTATCCAGCCTGTCCACTGGCCTGTCTTAGACTGACCTCCTGACTCTGCCTGTCTCCTGACACCTGGTCTGCCCTCTGGCCTGTCTCAGATTCTGGTCTCCTGGTATCCAGACCCAGCCGGCCTCCTGGCTCCCAGCTCTCACTATGACCACTAAGCCCAGTCATGCCAGGGATAGATTGTTACTGTTGCACATAATAGAATTTATTTTTGCCCTTAAAAAACACTGTTAAAATTATGTTATTGAGATAGCAAAATCATAGAATCATAGAATATCAGGGTTGGAAGGGACCTCAGGAGGTCATCTAGTCCAACCCCCTGCTCAAAGCAGGACCAAGCCCCAACTAAATCATCCCAGACAGGCTTTATCAAGCCTGACCTTAAAAACCTCTAAGGAAGGAGATTCCACCACCTCCCTTGGTAACCCATTCCAGTGCTTCACCACCCTCCTAGTGAAATAGTTTTTCCTAATAGCCAACCTAAACATCCCCCACTGCAACTTGAGACCATTACTCCTTGTTCTGTCATCTGCTACCACTGAAAACAGTCTAGGTCCATCCTAGAAGATAGGAAATGCTAGGTTTAAGGTTTAACCTATTTTTGCATCCTTGTGTATATCCATATGATAGTCTTTAATGACATGACCAGACACTATTTTTTCTACAATACCCCTACCTCATTCATTCAAGATGGATGATGTTCAAGAAATTAATCAGGGTGTGGAATGAATTAGGCTGCTTATAGGATTCCTGCCTCATTTTGTCTGGAAGTTGTAAACCATGTCAATAAAGTGGCAGGGGACTATAGGAAAAGAAAGGATGATCTTATAGTTAAAGGCAGGTGACTGCTACTCAGGAGAACTCAGTTCTATCCTTGCCTTTGCCATCAACTTGCTATGTGATGCTCGGCAAAAGTCACTTTAACCAAAACTTTTCATGAGTGGCTATTAAATATACATTCCTTTATGTTCTGGGTGCTCAACCTGGGGCCTAATTTGCAGAAGTGCTGAACATTCACATTTTTTTCCACACGTTTTTTCATGTGTGTGTAGCTACAAACATACTAGTATACATTTTCTTATTTAACTTCTGTGGTGGAATGATTTTTTTTTTCTTTTACCCAGGGAAAATATACTAAAACAGTACCAGGGATACATCTACATAAATGAGTTGATTTTTGTCTGATCAAAAAACCCCTGCCAGTAAGTTATACACCAACACTTCTTATTTCAGAATACTAGACTTCACACTTTGGTTTTAAGAGCAGTTAAAGGCTACAGTAGAATATAAATACTGCAGCACAGCACAGCTCTTCTCTGCTTTCATGAGATGGGAATTGAGCTTCATATCATTTGCAAGGAAAGCAGGTCTCAATTCTCAGCCTGCCACAATGCAATCTCCCAGAAGCATTCTAGCATTGACAGGATTGCATGACATACTTGAATATTCTGCATGCATCCCCGGGCTTCAAAACTGGCAACAGTTCTCCAATTCAGGACATAGATTTGATTTCAAAAGGTAAAAAACGCTAGAGCATTTGGTTGACCTTTAGCCCTTTCGTAATATTTTCTTTATACTTCATTAGAGGTAAAATCCTATATTCTACTGCACTACTGTGCAAGAAGTAGTGGGGAGGACTCAGGCTATGTCTACACTACCGCATATGCTGACAAAACTTTTGCTGCTCACAAGTGTGAAAAAAACACTGCCCTGAGAGATAGACGTTTCGCCAGCATAAGCACTCATGTGCACAACGCTATGTCGGCAGGAGATACTGTCCTGCTGACATTGCTACCACTGCTCAAGTAGATAGTTTTATTATGTCGACAGGAGAGCTTTCTCCCGTCGGCATAGAGCGGCTATACGAGTGATCTTACAGTGGCACAGTGGTATCGGTATAGCTGTGCCACTGTAAGCATAGATGTGCACTTAGGGACCCCTATTCTTTCCCATGCATGTAGTTTGGGGATGATAGCAGTCAAGAATGAGCAAGGGGAGAGAGGATCAGATAATGTGCTGACCTGTACTTCAAAGTCTCAAAGAGGCATGGTCCGCTGTTTAGAAAGGAGCTTTCAGACTCTAACCCATAACCGCTGCACTCAGCAAGCACTATGAAAGGTGCATATTTACCCCTTTTTTGAACAAAAAGGTCTCCCTAGGGAGCATGGACTACTCCAGAAGTGTTTCTGCTTCCTCTCACTGCACCAGCCAATGCAAGATTTGGCAGAGGCAAATGATTTGTTCTGCTTTAAGAAGCAAAGGGGAAACCCTGTCTAGATTTCAAAAGGCAGGAAATAGATATGCAATCCATCCTTGCTGCTGTTGAAGTCAATGGGAGCTTTTCTTTATTGTTAATACAACTGGTTCTCAAAAAAAAAAAATAGTCAGAGCTACCACTATTATCTTTTACTTTACATATTATTCTTTGTTAGAATCTCTTGCACTCTACCACCACCAGAGAAATAAACAAACTCCTCTAAATAACCTCCTTGGGCTTGGACTCCAGTGAAGCTACCAATAGAGCTTAAAGAGGGGTGGGCAAACTCCAGCCAGGGCGCAGGCGCCGCACCACACAGCTCCCGGAAGCAGCCACATGGCCCCGCTCCGGCGCTCTAGCTGTGGCACAGGGGCAGGGGCCACTCCACGTGGCTTCCAGAAGCCGCGGCATGGCCCCACTACAGCTCCTAGGTGCTCCAATGGCCCCCTCCGGTGCTCCAATGGGAGCTGCAGGGGCGGTGCCTGCGGATGGGGCAGCGTGCAGAGCCACCTGGCTGTGCCTCAGCATAGGAGTCGGAAAAGGGATATGCCACTGCTTCTGGGAGCTGCTTGAGGTAAGCGCCGCTCGGAGTGCACCCCCCCGAGCCTCTCCCATGCCCCAACCCCCTGCCCCAGCCCTGATCCCCCTCCTGCACTCCAAACCCCTCAATCCCAGTACAAAACACCCTTCTGCACCCCAAACCTCTCATCCCCAGCTCCACTCCAGAGCCCGCACCCCCAGCCAGAACCTGCACCCCTGCCCCAGCCCTGATCCTCCTCCTGTGCTCCGAACCCATCAGTCCCAGCCCAGAGCACCCTCCTACACCCCAAACTCCTCATCCCCAGCCCCACCCCAGAGCCCGCACCCCCAACCAGAGACCTCACCCCATCCTGCATCCCAACCCCCATTTTGTGAGCATTCATGGCCCGCCATACAATTTCTATTCCCCGATGTGGCCCTCAGGCCAAAAAGTTTGCCCACCCCTGGCTTAAAGCTTCTCTCCTTGGCAGAACTCCTAAGGTAGACTGACGGCTATACTGCAAACTCTCTCTCTTTGTGCATGCAGAGATTTCAAATCGTATGTCCCCTGCGGAGTGATTCAAATTTTATTTTTCAACCGTATACTACGAACTCTCAATGAAATGTGTACCGAGAATCAAGTTCTGCTGTTTCCCTATGACGATGCTAACATGACTGACATAAGGGCAGTGCTCCCAAGACACAAAGTTATATCTTACTTATAAAAGTCACATGCCAGATGAGAATCTGTGATATAAATATGAAGTGTAAGGCATCCAAAAACTAAGCCCAAGAAAATATGAACACTGCATTTTTAATGATTTTGTTCAAAGAGCAAAAAATTATAAAGATCACACACCTGAACAAACACTTATTTCTATCAAAGCTAAACCATTTTTTTAAAGTAGAGAAAAAATGAAATATCAAAGTTCTAAGAAAATTACCAAGGGGACATTTTCAAAGAGAAGCCCAAAATCTTACCTACCTTTTTTCCTTAGCTGTTAGTTAAATCCATGTAATACTGAATATTTTTTTCTCCAAACAAATGCTCCAATTGTATTTTTACAAACAAAATAATTATCAAAGCAAATAATCAATCCTAAAACAGTGAATTATAGTAATGTACCTGTGTACTGATTTCCATTTCAAAACTTCCAAGATTTTACTCAACATTAAAATAGACAAAGGATTTTACCACTGTAAAACATATCTTGATAAAAAAGGTATGAACCACAATGATTTCTGTACTCACTAGTTTTGCACTGACAAATGCGGCAACCATTTTGGTCCAGTCTGAAGCTGTACATACAGTCTCTCTCAGTCAATGTGCAGTTCACCAAAATCTCACATGTGGGTGGACCTATTGTGATATATGTTGGTTCTAATAAATAAGAAAAAGAAATAAATACAAGTAAGTATAATTGGTTAGAAATAACCACTCCCTTCTTGCAATATTTTTAATATATAAAGTTTTATCATATCAGGCAAAAACTTCTTTAAGATTAAGCTACAGCTGAGAGTACATATCAACAATTTAAGGTAAATATATTACAGGAATGTTGCAATTAGCATAAAAAACAAGCTTTATAAACCCATGAAATTCAGAAATTGGGTTTCTTTTAAATTTAGTATCAACATGTTAAAGGTACGGAAATGGAACAAAGACCCTTAACTCTGCCCTATGGCAAACCACAGACACCCAATAATTATGATTAAGGCACTTTTTAGTGTTCCTAGTGCCAGCTCACACTAAACTGATTTTAACTTTCAGTTATGAACAACAACAAAAAATGACTTATTCCTATTTTTTTCAAATACAGCCAATGCACAAATTTTCAGTGAATTTAAACTATGTAGGGACACTGCATTATTAAGATAATACGAGGGGGACGGGGGATATCTGATTCAAATTAATGGATCAACAGTACTTATAAATTCTCAGAAAATTCATTCTGTAATCAGAGGATAAAATGCTGTATTTTGGGGGAAGATATGCTGCATTTTTTATACAGAACAAAGATGTTGAAAATCCCTGTCTGAAGTGCAAAATAACTCAACAATAATAATGGGGTTGCAACCAGCAACTCCAGAACTTTTTTCCATCTTTTAGCAATACTTAGTATTTAGATTGCATTTTAAAACATTGAATAGTTTTCACAACAGCCCAGATAGTAAAGTATTTTTATCCCCAGTTTAAACTAGAGAAACTGATTTTTTATATATATATAAACCACCAATTATTAAACCAGTCTTGACCCTGTAAACCCTTATTTCATGCAGCAGTGCCATTGAAATCATAGGCAAAAGTTTGCCATCTTTTACTCTCCCTCCAGGATCCATTAGAAGGTTGCATCAAAACCACTTAGCAACTTTAACTACAGAATTAGACCTCTAGCCTGAAAAGACTTATGAACTAGGGTTACCATATTTTAATTTAAAAAAAGGAGGACACTCCACGGGGTCCCTTCCCCGCCCCTTCCCCAAAGTCCCAGCCCCAACTCTGCCCCCTCCCCTGAACGCTCCGCCCCCTGCTCCTCCCCCTCCCCTGTTTCCCGCGAATCAAATGTTCACGGGAAGCCTGAAACAGGGAGGCAGCAGGTAGGCTGGGGCTGGGGCTGGGCACGGCCCAGTCCGGCCCCCCCAGCCAAGCGGCTCCCTCTGGCGGCCGGCCGGCCCAGGCCAAGAGGCTCTGGCCCCGGTGTCTCCCGCCTGGCTCGGCTCGGGCCCTGGGACGCCGGCCCCGGCCAAGCACTGCCGGCCCCTCCCTCCCTATTTTCCCGGACACGTCCGGTTTTTTGGGATTTCCTCCTGGACGGGGATTTGAAGCCCAAAAAGCCGGACATGTCCGGGAAAATCCGGATGTATGGTAATCCTATATGAACATGTTTAACTTTTTGCACCATAAGTAGCCCAGTGAATTCAAGGGAACTACTCACAGTACATAAAAATTAGCCACGAGAGTCACTCTTTGCAGGAATGGGGTCTTAAACTACACTGCAGTTTCATCTCAGCAGATGAAACAGCATATAAAAATCAAAGCAAGCTGAAATTAAAACAAAGTGAAAGTGGAAAGGAACACACAGAAATATCACCTGTGTCTCAAAAACAAACAGCTCATAAAACAACTAGTGTTCTGTCTCATTCAGTTTAAAATATGTAGAACAGAAGTATTTACTTATATCCTCCCATTCTGCTTTCCAGAACTGTTCCTCACAGTTTGGGAAGACAGACTCGTGCTCACAGGGCTCAAGCTAGTGCCCAAAAAACAACTGTATGGATGTTGTGGCTCCAGTGGCTCGCGATAGCTGCCCAGGATCAAGCCAACCTTATCCAGTAGGCTTTACCTCAGGTGGTTAGCCCAAGTCTCCATTCGAATGGCAACATCCACTCAGCTATTTTTAGTGCGCTAGCTCAAGTTCTGATAGCACAAGTCTGTCTACTCAGGCTGGGAGACCTCACTCCCAGATGCAGTAGGCATACTCTGAGTGTCTGTGGACCTCTTAAATTAAGAGCAGAACATAAGAACAGCCCTATGGGTCAGACCAAAGATCATCTAGCCCAGTATCCTGTCTTCCAACAGTGGCCAATGCCAGGTGCCCCAGAGGGAATGAACAGAACAGGGAATCATCAAAGTGATCCATCCTGTCGCCCATTCCCAGCTTCTGGCAAACAGTGGCTAGGGACACCATCCCTGCCCATCCTGGGTAACAGCCATTGATGGATCTATCCTCCATTAATTTAATCTAGAATTTTTCTGAACCCTGTTATAATCTTGGCCTTCACAACATCCTCTGGCAAGGAGTTCCACAGGTTGACTGTGCATTGTGTGAAGAAATATTCCTTGTTTGTTTGTTTTAAACCTGCTGCCTACTAATTTCATTTGGTGACCCCTAGTTTGTGTTATGAGAAGGAATAAATAACACTTCCTTATTTACTTTCTCCACACCAGTTATGATTTTATAGACCTCTATCATATCCCTCCTTAGTAATCTCTTTTCCAAGATGAAAAGTCCCAATCTTATTAATCTCTCCTCATACAGCAGCTCTCCCATGCCCCTAATCATTTTTGTTGCCTTTTTCTGAACCTTTTCCAATTCCAATACATCTTTTTTGAGATGAAGGCAACAGCATCTGCACACAGTATTCAAGATATGTGTGTACCATGCATTTCTATAGAGGCAATATGACACTTTCTATCTTATTATCTATCCCTTTCTTAACAATTCCCAACATTCTTTTAGCTTTTTTGACTGCTGCTGCACATTGAGTGGATGTTTTCAGAGAGAACAATGACGCCAAAGTGTCTCTCTCAGTGGTAACAGCTAATTCAGATCCTATCATTTTATATGTATAGTTGGGATTATGTGTTCCAATGTGCACTACTTTGCATTTATCAACACTGAATTTCATCTGCCATTTTGTTGCTCAGTCACCCAGTTTTGTGAGATCCTTTTGTAGCTCTTCATAGTCTGCTTTGGACTTAACTATATTGAGTAGTTTTGTATCATCAGCAAATTTTGCCACCTCACTGTTTATCCCTTTTCCAGATCATTTGTGAATATGTTGAATACAGACCCCTGGGAGACACCACTATTTACCTCTCTCCATTCTGAAAACTGACCATTTATTCCTACCCTTTGTTTCCTATCTTTTAACCAGTTACCAATCCATGAGAGGACCTTTCCTCTTATCCCATGACAGTTTACTTTGCTTAAGAGCCTTTGATGAGGGATCTTGTCAAAATATTTCTGAAAATATAAGTACATTATATCCACTGGATTCCCCTTGTCCACATACTTGTTGACCCCCCTCAAAGAATTCTAATAGATGGGAAATCATGCCTTACCATTTATAAAAACCATGTTGACTCTTCCGCAACAAATTATGTTAATCATGTGTCTGACAAATTCTGTTGTTTCCTATAGTTTCAACCAATTTGCCCGGTACTGAAGTCAGGCTTACCAGCCTGTAATTGTTGGGACCACCTCTGGAGCCCTTTTAAAAAATTGGCGTCACATTAGCTATACTCCAGTCATTTGGTACAAAAGCTGATTTAAATGATAGGTTACAAATCACAGTTAGTAGTTCTGCAATTTCACATTTGACTTCCTTCAGAACTCTTGGGTAGTCCTGGTGACTTACTACTGTTAAATTTATCAATTTATTCCAAAGCCACCTCAATCTGGAACAGATCCTCAGATATTTCACCTGAAAAGAATGTCTCAGGTTTGTGAATCTCCCTCACTTCCTCAACCGTGAAGACGGATGCAAAGAATTAATTTAGTTTCTCCGCAATGGCCTTAGAGTCCTTGAGTGGTCCTTTAGCATTTCAATTGTCCAGTGGCCCCACTGGTTGTTTAGTAGGCTTCCTGCTTCTGATGTACTTAAAAAAAAAAAATTGCTATTACTTTGAGTCTTTAGCTTCAAATTCTTGAAGTTCTTCAAATTCTTTTTTGGCCTTCCTAATTATATTTTTACACTTCATTTGCCAGAGTTTATGCTCCTTTCTATTTTCTTCACTAGGATTTAACTTCCACTTTTTAAAGGATGCCTTTTTGCCTCTCACTGCTTCTTTTACTTTGTTGATTAGCCATGGTGGCACTTTTTTGGTTCTCTTACTATGTTTTTTAATTTGGGGTATACATTTAAGTTGAGACTCTATTACGGTGTCTTTAAAAAGTTTCCTTGCAGCTTGCAGGGATTTCACATTTGCCACTGTACCTTTTAATTTCTGTTTAAATAACTTCCTTATTTTTGTGTAGTTCCCTTTCTGAAAGTAAATACGACTGTGTTGGGCTGCTGTGGTGTTTTCCCCGCCATAGGGATGTTAAATTTAATTATATTATGGTCACTGTTAGCAAGCAGTCCAGCTATATTCACGTCTTGGACCAGATACCATGCACCACTTAGGACTAAATCAAGAATTGCCTCTCCTCTTGTGGGTTCCAGGACTAGCTGCTCCAAGAAGCAGTCATTTAAGGTGTCAAGAAACTTTCTCTCTGCATCCCATCCTGAGGTGACATGTACCCAGTCAATATGCAGATAGTTGAAATTCCCCATTATTATTGAGCCTTTTATTTTTATAGCCTCTCTAATCTCCCTGAGCATTTCAGTCACTATAATCATTCTGGTCAGATGGTTGGTAATATATCCCTACTGCTATATTCTTATTATCAGAGCATGGAATTACTATACATAGAGATTCTACGGTACAGTTTGGTTCATTTAAGATTTTTACTTCATTTGATTCTACGCTTTCTTTCACCTACAGTGCCACTCCCCCACCAGCACAACCTGTTCTGTCCTTCCAATATATTTTGTATCCTGGTATTACTTGTCCCATTGATTATCCTCATTTCACCAAGTTTCTGTGATGCTTAT